GCTACACTACCTGTGGGACGCCTAGCCTGTGGACTGTGTCGCTGTAAGTTGAGGTCCCTTTAAGACATCGCTGGAGCTGGGGACTGGCAGTTGGTGACCTGGCTGGCAGTTGGTGACCTGCCTTGTGATTGGCTGCTGTGCTGATATAGCCTAGCTCTCTCTATAAATAGAGGAAGATCTGGCAGCAGACCAGACTTGAAGGACTGCTAGTCTCTCACACCTCTCTCTTTTTTTTTTTTTTTTAGAATCTCACACCTCTCTTATGGCAGTGACTTGAATTGAGCCATTTGTAGTGCTTTATAATTTAACTGTTTCTTTCTTGTATTATATTTTTAACTGTATATGATTTAACAGTTCATTCCTTGTTATATATCTAATTACCTTTATACATAAATATATTAAATTATCAGCAATTTGGTTTGATCTCTCTGGAGAACCCTGTCTAACACGTGGGTTTTCCCAGCACCGGTTTCTGTCACATTTTTTGTTTCTTTGATTGGGCCATATTTTCCTGTTTCTTGGTGTACTTTATTTTGTCACTGAAATTAGACCATTTGGCTTTTGTAACACAGTCACTCCTTCCTGGTTGGGATTTGGTGTTCTTGGTTGATTGTTGACTCTAAGCTTGTGTTTAGCCAGTGTTCTCACTGAGTTGTATTTTGTAAGTTGAATACCAGGAATGTGTTTAAATTGACTTCTAAAGTTAATTTTGGTGTGGTTGAGAATTGACACAAGACACATGCAAATTTAACACTTTTAATTTTTGGACTTTTATATGTACAATTTAGTGATGTTGACTATATTCTTCAAGTCTGCCATCATTGTCTTTTTCTGACTAATCCTTTGAGTTGCTGTTGTCACCTTGATCTTTTTTTTAAATCATTCTAATGGGGGCTCATACAACTCTTATCACAATCCATACATCAATTGTGTAAAGCACATTTGTACATTCATTGCCCTTGTCATTCTCTAAACATTTGCTCTCCATGTAAGCCCCTGGCTTCAGGTCCTCATTTTCCCCCTCTCTCCCCGCTCCCTCCTCCATCATGAACCCTTGATAATTTATAAATTGTTATTTTGTCATTTCTTGCCCTGTTTGCTATCTCCCTTCACCTACTTTTCTGTTGTCCGTCCCCCAGGGAGGAGGTAACATATAGTTCCTTGTAATCGGTTCCCTCTTTCCTACCCACCCTCCCTCCATCCTCCCAGTATCGCCACTCACACCATTGGTCCTGAAGGGATCATCCGCCCTGAATTCCCTGTATTTCCAGTTCCTATCTGTACCAGTGTGCATCCTCTGGTCTAGCCAGACTTGCAAGGTAGAATTCGAATCATGGTAGTGGGGGCGGGGAGGAAGCATTTAGGAACTAGAGGAAAGTTGTATTTATCATCGTTGCTTCGTCGCACCCTGACTGGCTGGTCTCCTCCCCGAGACCCCTCTGCAAACCTTGATCTTTTCTTTTTTTGTGTGTGTGTGAACATCGAATAGACATTTAAAAGGAATTATTGCCAAAGTATTTTGAGAGTGATGAGCTGAGATTATCTAATCTTTGATAAATTTTGAATCATTCACAGAACAAATGAAAAAAGACGTTGTGATCTGTCTATTATCACAGAAGGATCTGGAATAGACCATAGGTTGCGGGAGGTCGAATGCCTACCATTCTCTGCCCTTCATATTACTACTTTCAAAGTTCTTCCCAATTCAAAATCCAAAAAGGGGATTTGGCAAAGTCTGACTGCCTTTCTTCCAGGAGTCTCAGCCTAAATCTTCTTCTTGGCTCCTCCCATAATTTGGAGAGCATTCATATTGCCCTATTCTCCACCCAAAAAGGGGTGGGGTGCATGCCAGAAGCGGTCCAGGTTGGGGAAATGCTGGGGTGAAGGTCTCGTGGTGGCCACGGCTCCTCAGTGACTCAGCGATTGTCGACCCTTGAGCATGCGGCGGAGGATGAGCTGGACGCCAGCCGCTGTGCTCAGACGCCGGTCCCCCATGCTTGTGTTTGCGCTTGATATTGCTCGGCTGGTACTCGTTCCCGCGTGCCTTTCCTGGGCTGGCTGCAGAGTGGGGAGGCCCCAGGCTTCCGCGGGTCCCAGCCGTGCCTGGGGCTGGAGCATCCTGCCCCCCAGCAGTGCCGTCCACCTGGCAGCGAGGCTGCACAGGGACCCCAAAGACCCGGTCAAGGCAGCCATGTCCAGCGGCAGGTCACGCCGTCCAAGTCTCCCAAACCTTGATCTTTTCTAGAGTTTTTTAGCATTCCCTTTTAAGATGTCTTTCAGGGATATTTTTTTGTTTTAGGATTACAGCTTATCTTAGACACTAGTTTTGGGGGTTCACCCATCCTCTATGGCTCCAGGAAGTCTAGAGCGCATGAGAATTTGGGCTGTGCTCTGTATTTTCACCTGAGGAAGTATCGAGAAGGCCATGTCTGATCTCGTCTGGCCACACAAGTGGGAAGGGGAATCCGCCTCCACATCTGCCCAGCAATTACTAGAATTGGTGACAAAGAGAAAGACCCTTGACAAGATGGATTGACACGGTGGCTGCAACAACAGGCTCAAACCTACGAACAATTGTGAGGGTGGCACGGACCGGCTGTGTTTTGCTCTGTTGTGCAGTGTTGCTATGCGTTGGACCCGACTTGATGGCACTTAGCAAGCAACGTTAATTGGCTGTGCAACCCTGTCCTCTGTCACGATTGTTTTCCCATCACAGTTAACCTGTCCTTTTCATTCTCTCCCACCCCTGGCAACGGCGGATACAGCTTGATCTCTGCGTTTTCTTTTTCTTGCCTTTGTATGTGTCCTTTTGTGATCAGCTGATTGCACTCAGCGTGTCTTCACGTGCCTGCCCGCCACACGCTTGGCTTTTCTTGATGCAGCATTGACTTGGCTGTTGTAACCCTGAGTTAGTTAATTGTGCCAACCTGGCTGATAATCACATGTGGGGCTAATTGAAAGGCGGAGGGATAAATGGGTGGTGAGCCTCGCCTTTCTAGTTCTCGGGTCTCTTGCTTTGTGATG